TAGGTTGACAGAATACGGCAGTGACACTAATCCGAAAAGTCTACATGTTGATTTGGCTGATGTTATTTTGTTAACGGGTCCTCATTCATGTAGAAATTTAGTGTCCGGTACACTAAATGTAACACATTCCTAATTAATCTCTTTTAAATTAAACTAGAGCAGATGTTAAAATATTCAAAGCCAACTCTGGCAAATCAACATATTGAGTTAAATGTTGAGAGAAGTCATTTGGGGACACCAAGGGGGTATTACTAAAAGTAATGGGATAGATAAAGGAAAGCGTAGGATGATTAACAAGGAAAATATCCCAACAGGTGTTTTAGAACTAGAGCTGATTGGATAATGAAAAATCATATTTGCAAAGATATTTGTGAATAAATGGATGATCTTGCTTCAAGAAGAATAGTGGCACAGGTTAGTAATTCAAACATTTATGAATAATGAATATCATTCGTTTGTTCCAGTAGCACCTCAGTGTCCCAGCTAGGGATCAATGTCTCTATTGCACTATGCAAACATGCAGTAAAGCCACAGGGCTGGATGCACAAAGGAAGCTGGTGCCTAAGTCCATGTTTTAGGCACCTTAGTCCCAATTTTGGGACCACTGCAATGCACAAAACTCCTGTCAAAGCCCTGTAGGCCTCTTGGCCTTTAAGTTTTCAAGGAGAAAGTTCCCTAGGGCCCTATGTTTCTGCCTCAGAGTATGCTCACTGCCATCTAATTCTACGTATCCAAAACCTGTCTTCCAGCTAAGTTCCAGAGTGATTGACAAACCAGGGGAAGATAGGCCTTTGGTTGCCTAACACATGTGCGGGTCCTGGTCTGGCAGGCATATTCAGAGGCCACCTACCAAATTGATTCCCATTCAAAATCTGGCCAGAGGAGGTGATGCCCACCGTATAACTTTTAGCCCAGTGGTTCATTGGAGTCTCCCAAGAGGTGAGAGACCCCCCCGTTCAAGTACTACACTTTAATTATAATTTTTTTTTAAAAGAGTAATTAACAATCAAAGAGGAAGGTGCCATCCGGTGACACAAATGAGCATTGAAAGGATCGGCTTTCCTGTTAAAACTAAGCAAGGTGAATACTAAGGTACTTATGATTTGGAAGAGAACCAAGATGAGACTTTTAATCCAATCCCAGTAAAAGTATACTAGAATCTAGCTTGGCAGACGGAATAAACAGACATGGTGCAATAATAATAAGACCTAACGCTCTTACAGCACTTCTTATCTGTAACTCTCAGACTGCTCTACAAAGGAGGTAAGTGTAATTATCCTCATTATCATTATTAAAGAGAGGCAAACTGAGGCACAGAGAGGTGAAGTGATTGTCCAAGGTCACTCATGAAGCCAGTGCCACAACCAGGAATAGAATCTTCTGAGTCCTAGTCCAGTGCACTATCCACTATGCAACACTGCATCTCTCGTGGTACCAGTGCAAAACATGTCTGATACAAACAGAAGTCAAGAAAGGTCAGCACAGAGTTATAATCAATAATGTCAACACACTGACATGATATTCTTTGTAAGACATTATAAAAGAAACAGCAAAAACAAACTTGAGTAAAGTTGCACATAGTTTAAAACCCTATGACAGACAATCTCAGTTTTGTTCAGATACCTGTCTGAAATGCTTGAAGAAAAGATTATTTACAGAAAAAAAGAGAAAAAGCTGAAAATACACCTTACTCACAACAATCATGGTTAAAAAAACAAAACAAATAAGATCAGCAAGGTCATTTCAAGTTGCTATAACAGTCAGACAGCAAGAATAACTGGATTGACTTCTGCCCTGTTTATGACAGTTTGTATAACAAAGCAAATTCACGAGCAAGAAACAGAATATCTGAAAGATTTTTCAGAAACGTAAGATGTGACTTCTTACATTGCCTCTTACTAGTTTCTTACTTGTTCAGTGCAGATAACGTGTTTGGTGCCGTACAAATCAATTTTTCTCTCGTCCCTGAGAGAAGATGTAAAGAATCTTAAAAAAAACTTTTCAAAACAGCATCAGACCAGCAGGCATAATTAAATTAAGGCTAATCTTTTAAACAGCCTACTAAGCACTGAAGATCTTATAACTTCCTTTAGGTAAATATTTGGAAAACGCCGGCCAATTATTTGTTCTTCCCTGGCTTATAAAAATATTTCTTCATAGTATTATATCTGGCTTTTGGTGTGCACCAATTGGCAGGTATTTTCAAAATATTTTTCTATTGGAGGTTAATCTTGGACTTCCTTTCTACAATGTAAAATTACAATGGTGTTAAAAGAACATAATTTTGATTGCAAAGTCAAGCTCTTGAAAGTTAAATAATTCCCAGGCAACCTGAATTCTGTCTCCTTTTGCTTTAAGATAGCTTTAAGTAAATGATCACGTACAATCAGGACCTATGCCTCATTAAATGCACGGGATGATGATGCTCAAGGAAGGAGGCAACTATTCAAAAATTCTTTTCATTCTCGTCATTCAATGTGTGGCCCAATCTGATCCCTTACGTATTGCATGCCATCCAAATCCTGAATACAAAATTATTCATTTCCTTGCCGTCTTTTTTTTTTTTTGGAAACCCACAGTGACTGCATGTGTAACCAACGTTAATGAATGTATTTTCACAATTTGCCTGGGAGATAAATTATTATCCCACCCTACAGATGTTTTAAGTGATTTGCTCAAGGTCATGCAATGAAACAGAGGCAAAGTCAAGGTTAGAACTCAGTCTCCTGACTCCCATCCATGTGCTCATTCCTCCAGACTACACTTCCTGACTGAGAATCATAAACTATCAGGGTTGGAAGGGACCTCAGGAGGTCATCTAGTTGAACCCCCTGCTCAAAGCAGGACCAAGCCCCCAATTTTGCCCCAGATCTCTAAATGGCCCCTTCAAGGATTGAACTCACAACCCTGGGTTTAGCAGGCCAGTGCTCAAACCCCTGAGCTATCCCTTTCCCCTTTTGGGTTCCCTTCATGACACTCCTGGACCCAGCACATGGCCCCAACAGCCCATAGACTCATAGAATATCAGGGTTGGAAGGGACCTCAGGAGGTCATCTAGTCCAACCCCCTGCTCAAAGCAGGACCAATCCCCAATTTTTGGCCCAGATCCTTAAATGGCCCCTCAAGGATTGAACTCACAACCCTGGTATGTGAATGGTACTGAGCATTCACATTTCCCAGTGACTTCACCTGCAGTTAGGGTGTCAGGCCCCAGATGCCTCAAGTCAGGCGCACAGGAAATGAGGAAACCACATTTGGTGACCAGGTGTCACAATTTTAGCTAACATGACTTGCTTAACGTCACACAGGAAGGTAGTCTGTGGCAGAAGTAGAGACAGAAGTTAATTCTCCTGCATATGGCTCTTTGGGGATTGAGTTCTAGATCTCTCTCAGTACAAATTTCTTTACTGCTTTTCTCTCTTCAGAGACAGATTTAAAATGTGTCTCCTCCCCAAGCCAAACCGTGGCCACTGGGAGCTGCGGGGGGCCATGCCTGCGGGGTCAAAGTAAACACAATGTCTCGCGACCTGCCTTTGGATTACCTTGATAGGCCACATGCCGAAGGTTGCCAACCCCTGTGCGAGTTTTTTTTTAATGTTGTATAAATCTAAAGTCTTCTTTACAACAGTTTTTTTTCCCCTTTAGGAAACTGTTAAAACTTTGATAGCATTTAAAAAGTGGGTGAGAAACAGCGTTCTTATCTATTGTTTAACATAAACTGTTTTTTCCTTTTAAGTTAGGATGTGTGTGTCTGTGTGTTTTGTATGAAGTTAAAGATTTCATTATAAAAGTTTTCCTCTAGGCAACACTTTAAAAAACATTGTTTTTAAAAAAGGTGGGTGTGTTATGTGGTTTTTTCTGTTGTTGTTTAAATGAGCCAAACAATTGTTCTTATTAAGCTCTGAGATTAGGACAAGAAACAATGGGCTTAAATTGCAGCAAGGGAAGTTTAGGTTGGTCATTAGGAAAAACTTCCTAGCTGTTAGGTTAAACATTGAAATAAAATGCCTAAGGAGGTTGTGAAATCTCTGTATTTGGAGATGTTTAAAAGCAAGTTAGACAAACACCTGTCAGGGATGGTCTAGATAATACTTAGTCCTGCATGGAGTTCAGGGGACTGAACTAGAAGATGCCTGCAGGTCCCTTCCACTCCAATGATTCTCCTATTAAAAGTGCACATGACTGGATACGGACTCGGAGGATGGGACAAATGCAAAAAGGGTGTGCGCAAACCTGTCAAAAACACATGGTGATCAACCCTATCAAACATATTACTACTAGACCTTATTTTTTCTTCCCTTTTCTTTAATAAACTTTATTTTTCCTCTCTTTCTTTAATAAACCTTTTTGCTCTCTTTCTTTAAGAGCCCTTATTTTTCCTCAGTTTTCTTTAATAATCTTTATTTTTTTCTTTCTTTAATAACCCCCTTATTTTTCTCTCTCTTTCCTCTCTGTCTGTAATAACCTCCCTTATTTCTCTCTCTCTCTCTTTAATAACCTACCTTATTTTTTATCTCTTCTCAGAACCTACCTTATTTTCTGAATTATCTAAAAATCTATTCTTCACACATAAAATCACATGCACACAATGATCCCTAACATTCCCCATGGAAAAAAAAAGTAACAAAACCCGTATTTTCCCCCAGATGGCTGACCACACCAGAAGGGTATGTGACCAGACTGAGAACCGGCAGACAGGATATAAGGCAAAAAAGGGGTATGGAAACCTCTTAAAAAGACCTGGTGATGAATCCTATCTTACTTACTTACCCTATCTTACCTACTTATTTTATTGCCCTTTTTTACTTTTTCTTTGTCTTCAACAGTCCTCCTATGCATGTTATAAATTACAAGAGAAAATAGGCAGCATGGTTTTGTATAATAATATGAACTAAAAATTTTAATCTCTCAAGTAAAAGCATTTTTCCGCTGCCAACACCTTCACAATAAAAATGAGGTGCAGTTAGTTAACCCACTTCTTTCCCTTTCAAATTACAAACCTTAATTTATCTGTTCCAGCTTTGTATCTTGAGATTCGAGCTATCGACAGAGGAACTGATAGGGTGTCTAGCCAGCGCTTTTCATATTTTGGTTCATTAGCTATGGGTGAGGAGGGCGATGATGGAGCCTGTAGAGAATAAATGAGAATCAGTAAGCACAGTCTATCAGTTCATACAGTGCAGAAAGCACTGAAATGCATCTAGAGCTGTGCGCTCTTCAAAAGCTAGTAACACGTAGTAATATAAATTGTTAAGAAACAGAGTTTAGGAGAGAAATTAAAATAAGCATTTATGTGAAAACAAAACAGAGATCTTGGTGCTATGCCTGTGTTTTGATTTTATTGTTTGTGTGATGTTAAACCATTTATGTTTTAATTAAAATTTGAAGGCTACTTCTAATTGATGATACAAATAGGCTCATTTTAATGTCAGTGTTTTACTCGTAAATCTCCTATTTTTCTCCATCCAAATTCCTTCTGATTACAACGTAAGATCACTCCAGGGTAGAACTTCATTTGGAATGTGTTTGTGCTTTCCCTTAAATTTCTATACACAATTGTCAAGAAAAAACAGTGCACAAAATATATTGAAGTAAGGACTACTGCAATCATGCAACAAATTTTGCATATACTGATACATTGTGACATTTACCCATGCCTTCATTTAGCCACAGATTTGAAAATCCTGAATCACATGTTATACCTAAGGCAGGAAATATCCATATATGGACTAGTAAACTTTGAGAGTTTCAATTTTAGAGTTTTGTTCAAAACCATTACATTGGGCATTTTCTCTCCCTGAAGAACTGGATACATGGATCCTGGGATACCTGCAGAAGGCAGGATCCTCAACATTATAACAGCAACATGTGATGTGCATCAAAGATGTTCCAGATTTTTGAGGATCTGGGTAAAGTGGAAATTATTGTCGATCTACTGATTTGGGATGAGCACCCCAGCATGCCAAAGAAAACCTTAAATTAAACAGGAGCAAATGTGAGCTAAAAACTGAATTAGATTAATAATTTAGGACACACATTCAATGACAAAGGAGCTCAAATCAAACCTAAGAAAGGAGGTTTTACAGAGGCTCATGAGCATGTTAATATATCTAATCCCTAATTTATCACAGTGAAACCCTTCATTTGAAATACTGCATGAAGATATTACAGAATGGAACAGCAATGATTAAAAAAGAATTCTTTGGGGAATTAAAAAAGTTGTCACAGAAGCACAGGTACTGAAACACTTCGAGATTAACAAAAGGCCCAACATTTCAGTCGATACAAGATCACATGAATTGTGAACTGTTCTTCGATAAAATGATGGCCCTGAGGTATGTACTTCTGTAGCACTCACTAAAACACAATAAAACTGAGCTCAGATTGAGAAAGAAAAGGTGGTAATTGTTTCTGGTTGTGAGTGATTTCATGAATATGCTTATGGACAGCAATCAGTTGAAGCAGAAACAAACTAGAAACTTTTGGAAACCATTGTTCGAAGCATCACTTAGATTTCAGAAAATGATCACGAAAACTGAAAAAAAAACCCATCCTTAATAAATGTGAAATACAGAACCAGCAAGGGGCTTCTTACAAAGCAAGTAAAAACAGTGAAAGTTACCTAAGCCCTGGTCTACACTAGGACTTTAGGTAGAATTTAGCAACGTTAAATCGATGTAAACCTGCACCCGTCCACACAATGAAGCCCTTTATTTCGACTTAAAGGGCTCTTAAAATCGATTTCCGTACTCCACCCCTGACAAGTGGATTAGCGCTTAAATCGACCTTGCCGGGTCGAATTTGGAGTACTGTGGACACAATTCGACAGTATTGGCCTCCGGGAGCTATCCCAGAGTGCTCCATTGTGACCGCTCTGGACAGCATTCTCAACTCAGATGCACTGGCCAGGTAGACAGGAAAAGAACTGCGAACTTTTGAATCTCATTTCCTGTTTGGCCAGCGTGGCAAGCTGCAGTTGACCATGCAGAGCTCATCAGCAAAGGTAACCATGACGGAGTCCCAGAATCGCAAAAGAACTCCAGCATGGACCGAACGGGAGGTACGGGATCTGATCGCTGTATGGGGAGAGGAATCCGTGCTATCAGAACTCCGTTCCAGTTTTCGAAATGCCAAAACCTTTGTCAAAATCTCCCAGGGCATGAAGGACAGAGGCCATAACAGGGATCCGAAGTAGTGCCGCTTGAAACTTAAGGAGCTGAGGCAAGCCTACCAGAAAACCAGAGGGGCAAATGGCCGCTCCGGGTCAGAGCCCCAAACATGCCGCTTCTATGATGAGCTGCATGCCATTTTAGGGGGTTCAGCCACCACTACCGCAGCCGTGTTGTTTGACTCCTTCAATGGAGATGGAGGCAACACGGAAGCAGGTTTTGGGGACAAAGAAGATGATGATGAGGAGGAGGAGGTTGTAGATAGCTCACAGCAAGCAAGCGGAGAAACCGGTTTTCCGGACAGCCAGGAACTGTTTCTCACCCTGGACCTGGAGCCAGTACCCCCCGAACCCACCCAAGGCTGCCTCCTGGACCCGGCAGGCAGAGAAGGGACCTCCGGTGAGTGTACCTTTTAAAATACTATACATGGTTTGAAAGCAAGCATGTGAAAGGATTAATTTGCCCTGGCATTCGCAGCTCTCCTGGATGTACTCCCAAAGCCTTTGCAAAAGGTTTCTGGGGAGGGCAGCCTTATTGCGTCCTTCATGGTAGGACACTTTACCACTCCAGGCCAGTAACACGTACTCGGGAATCATTGTACAACAAAGCATTGCAGTGTATGTTTGCTGGCATTCAAGCAACATCCGTTCTTTATCTCTCTGTGTTATCCTCAGGAGAGTGAGATATCATTCATGGTCACCTGGTTGAAATAGAGTGCTTTTCTTCAGGGGACATTCAGAGGAGCCCGTTCCTGCTGAGCTGTTTGCCTGCGGCTGAACAGAAATGTTCCCCGCTGTTAGCCATGGGGAGGGGGGAGGGTTGAGGGGGTAGCCAAGCGGTGGGGGGAGGCAAAATGCGACCTTGTAATGAAAAGCACATGTGCTTTGTATGTAATGTTAACAGCAAGGTTTACCCTGAAAGACTGTAGCCACTGTTTTAGAAAATGTGTCTTTTTTTTCTCCACCAGCTGCATGTGTTTCAATGATCACAGGATCTTCTCCTTCCCAGAGGCTAGTGAAGCTTAGAAAGAAAAAAAAAACGCACTCGTGATTAAATGTTCTCTGAGCTCATGCTGTCCTCCCATACTCACAGAGCACAGACGAATGCATGGAGGCAAATAATGTCAGAGTGCAGGAAAGCACAAAATGACCGGGAGGAGACGTGGTGGGCTGAAGAGAGTAAATGGCGGGCTGAAGACAGGGCTGAAGCTCAAAGGTGGCGGCAGCGTGATGAGAGGAGGCAGGATTCAATGCTGAGGCTGCTGGAGGACCAAACCAGTATGCTCCAGTGTATGGATGAGCTGCAGCAAAGGCAGCTGGAGCACAGACTGCCACTACAGCCCCTGTGTAACCAACCGCCCTCCTCCCCAAGTTCCATAGCCTCCACACCCAGATGCCCAAGAACCCAAGAACTCCCAAGTCCCAAGAACTCGGTGGGGGGCCACCGGCCAACCAGCCACTCCACCACAGAGGATTGCCCCAAAAAAAGAAGGCTGGCATTCAGTAAATTTTAAAGTTGTAAACTTTTAAAGTGCTGTGTGGCATTTTCCTTCCCTCCTCCACCACCCCTCCTGGGCTACCTTGGTAGTCGTCCCCCTATTTGTGTGATGAATGAATAAAGAATACATGAATGTGAAGCAACAATGACTTTATTGCCTCTGCAAGCAATGATTAAAGGGAGGAGGGGAAGGTGGTTAGCTTGCAGGGAAGTAGAGTGAACCAAGGGGCGGGGGGGTTTCATCAAGGAGAAACAAACAGAACTTTCACACCGTAGCCTGGCCAGTCATGAAACTGGTTTTCAAAGCTTCTCTGATGCGTACCATGCCCTCCTGTGCTCTTCTAACTGCCCTGTTGTGTGGCTGCGCGTAACCAGCAGCCAGGCGATTTGCCTCAACCTCCCACCCCGCCATAAACGTCTCCCCCTTACTCTCACAGATATTGTGGAGTGCACAGCAAGCAGTAATAACAGTGGGAATATTGGTTTCGCTGAGGTCTAAGCGAGTCAGTAAACTGCACCAGCGCGTCTTTAAACGTCCAAATGCACATTCTACCACTATTCTGCACTTGCTCAGCCTGTAGTTGAACAGCTCCTGACTACTGTCCAGGCTGCCTGTGTACGGCTTCATGAGCCATGGCATTAAGGGGTAGGCTGGGTCCCCAAGGATACATATAGGCATTTCAACGTCCCCAACAGTTATTTTCTGGTCTGGGAATAAAGTCCCTTCCTGCAGCTTTTGAAACAGACCAGAGTTCCTGAAGATGCGAGCGTCATGTACCTTTCCCGGCCATCCCACGTTGATGTTGGTGAAATGTCCCTTGTGATCCACCAGAGCTTGCAGCACTATTGAAAAGTACCCCTTGCGGTTTATGTACTCGCTGGCTTGGTGCTCCGGTGCCAAGATAGGGATATGGGTTCCGTCTATGGCCCCACCACAGTTAGGGAATCCCATTGCAGCAAAGCCATCCACTGTAACTTGCACATTTCCCAGGGTCACTACCCTTGATATCAGCAGATCTTTGATTGCGTGGGCTACTTGCATCACAGCAGCCCCAACAGTAGATTTGCCCACTCCAAATTGATTCCCAACTGACCGGTAGCTGTCTGGCGTTGCAAGCTTCCACAGGGCTATCGCCACTCGCTTCTCAACTGTGAGGGCTACTCTCATCTTGGTATTATTGTGCTTCAGGGCAGGGGAAGGTAAGTCACAAAGTTCCATGAAAGTGCTCTTACGCATGCGAAAGTTTCGCAGCCACTGGGAATCGTCCCAGACCTGCAACACTATGCGGTCCCACTAGTCTGTGCTTGTTTCCCAAGCCCAGAATCGGCGTTCCACAGCATGAACCTGCCCCATTAGCACCATGATGCATGCATGTGTAAGCAGCGTCAGGATGAGCTCCACCCTGACATCTGGTGGTGAGGTGTGGCAAGTTATGGAAAAGAACTTCAGGGGCCAATCTCA